AACAAGAAGACGTGAAAGAGTTATGAATAGAGGAAAACCGTGAGAGAAGATTCTTGACAACCTGTTGGTATGGTTAAGAGGGTAAAATCAGACTTCTTCTTCTTCTAACCGGGGCATACATGAGTTCTTCATTACGACTATTAAAAAGTATGGAGAATGTGGCAAGGCCTTCGACTGTAAGAGGTGTCTGCAAGTCTTTGCTCTTTCGGAATCTCTGCTTTAAACTGCAAATCAGTGTACAGTTTCCAGACAAACTGATTACCAGATGCCCGGAGTAGTTCGATATGTCAGCTAAAAGGTGCAAATATTGGATCTCTACTCTAATCACGCGCATTTCAATCCCCCACCCCCCCCCCCCACACACACACACACACATACACACGCACGCACGGGCGCACACACACATTAACATATATATATTTCCGACGGATAAACGAAGAATTAGTCAACGACTACAATCTTGTATACCGTATTACTATTTAGCATTGACCGTTTTGTATTAAAGGTTGTAGATAGGCTGTCGTGTTGTGAAAATTGTGTCTCTGTGAGTGCAGGGGATCTTGACTTTAATTATCCTGCGAAAAATACAAACAAAAAGAAGACATCAGGATCTGCAATTGTGAATCTTATGAGTATCGTGGTCGTAATGAAAATTCAGAACAAAAATTTTCAAGCTTATGTCCTTTTTTTAACTGCCTGATGGCCTTTTTCTCAAGACGGTCCTTTGGCTGTCTTATGATGATAACGGACCCACGAGTGCTGGTCCCCCGCTTGAGTTTGCCTCAGTCGGGTGGCCTTTGGTGGGTTCTGATTCTTTCCTGAATAGCTATGAGAAATTATGTTCCTTAATTTTTTTAGTGTAGATCCACGTGCCAGAAGTGTACATGGTACTGAATGGCGCCGAGAAAATACAATGGTGCCTAAGAAAAAGGTAAGTTGCCTCTGGTGGGTGCTGGTACTGGTCACATCATGATGGGTGGTGGCTCTCAGACTTTCCACCCCCCACGGTCTGGATATGAACTGCTTCACAAGTCGCTGGATCTTATCCCCCCCCAGTTTTTCCCCCCCACACATTTCGTTGGTGTTTACAGTTTAGTAAAAAAAGTCTCGCCGGAGTGCGGAATGTTACTCTCTTAATTCGGAAATTTTTTTTTAGTCACTTGCTCTCTTGTGACTGGGTTTGTTATTTAGCAACTTGTTGTATTGGGACCTTGGTTCTGCTTAAAGTTCAGTTTTGCCCAGTCCCGCGAATATGTTACATTCTTCGGCCGCCTGTCCTGGGGGGGAAAAATTGATGCCTCAAAGCTGGGATCCAACATTATAAAGTTAAAAGAATTAGGCTAAACTAACAAGCTGTGTAAAGTAAGGTAATTTAACATAAATATATTGACGAATGCCATATAGGAAGTGTGTATATTCCAGGTCTTTGAAATCAGCTGCAAGCAGACTGACTAAGACACGCGCAGTCCAATTTCTGCGTCAACGGATGTACTTGGTACCCAAAGAGTTTCTGTTAAGCATATTCCTTTCCCAGGTGGGGATGTCGGGTGGTACTTTACCGCTGGTTACTCATGCCGTTTTTATTGCCGGTCTCTAATGCATTGGAATGACCTTTGAAAAAATTGAGCAGTTGCCTGGATGGCAGGTTCAGAGTGCCGCTTGGGACCAGTAGCCCGTGTCTCTGCCGTAAAGAACGCCCAAGATACTTCCAAGACTAACAGGTGATTGCCAGATGAAAGGAGGAGCATCAGAAGAAGCAGTATTAAGAAGAAGAAAGTAGAAAGAAGACCCCGCCCGGAAGAAGTAGCAGGTTGTTATTGCTTCTGAGAAGAATGTTGGAAGAAGAGGAAGAAAGAAGAAGAAGAAGTACGTTCGTACCCTTTTTCCAGAATCAGATACGAAGAAAAGAAGAGCTCTAGGTTGAAGAACCAATGGCGAGTCGTTCGGCGGAGATGAAGAAGAGGTCATTAAGAAGAAGAAGATCCACCGGGGGGGAAATCAAGAAGAAGACAGAGAAGACTGAAGTAGAAGAAGAAGAATTGAAGCGTTTTTCCCCAAGATTTTCCTAGAACTCAGTTTCCTGAGAAGCCTTCCCTCGCAGAAGTCAAAGAAGAAGAAGAAAAATGTTTTTCTCTCCCTAATCTTATGAAGTGTGGATCAATATCATCAGAAGTTTTTTAAGAATCTGTACAAGAACTGGTCAAGACCGGTTGGAGTATTTCTTCTCTAGAAAGAAGAAGTAGGCCAAGAAGTCTTTGTTAAACACTTTTAAGAGGAGGTTTCTGTGAAGAGAAGAAGAAGAAGTTTTTTTTGGGGTGGGGTGTCTTTGAGAAGAACGGTCACATGGCTGTCCTGTCGCCACGAGTGCAGAGGAAGTTATTTTGAGGCAACAAAAAGCCTCTTAAGATTCGGACCCATGTCCCCCGCTTGAAAGAAGCTAGCTGCTCCTTAAAGTGTAAGCCAGAAGTGTAAGAATGGCTCCGAATAATGGTGCCTAAAA